ACGGTAATTACATTGAACCTTATGGGGAAATTTCCTTTGGGTTGCAACCAATTCGGGGTGCAACCAGAGTCACAGAACGAATTAAATTCATAACCCGAGGTTCCACTGTGGTTGTTTTCCTGTCTATTTCCCACCTGAAAAAAAGTTGGGGTGTGGTCTGTGGAATGAAAGGATAAAGATGATCTTCTTCTGTCTGAAATCTCCATGTTCATTGTGAACCAAGTGAAGGCTATGGAGGCCTATCTCTCTTCTGGTTCCTGGGCCACCACACCAGGCTTTGCTGGATCTGCTCATATCATTCCTGTTCTGTCAGGTCTCACCCCACATTTCCTGTTGGCTTCATCGCACAGATCTTCTATCCCTTCTTTGGAGGAAACAAGCAAATTGCCTCTTTTCTGCTGTTTTTTTGCTAATGGTGGAGCAAGCTCATTATAGGTTGAATCAATATTCTCAATGCAATAATATAGTTTTTTTTAAAAGCTGGTATACATTTACATATTCTGTAAGTGTTGATGTAACTGATAATACAGATCACCTTAAAGAAATTCTGAAGAGCTAAATCAAAGTGAAGAAAAAGAAATCCCACCAACTTGCACAAAATTTTGGGCTACAGTCATTATTGCTACCTCTCCTGTTGGGAAAAGGGAGTCACTGCTTAAATAAAGGCAATTGCTGTTTGGAGTGGGGTGAAAGGAAGCTGTTGTGGGGAGAAAGTTTGTGTTGCTTAAAATGTTTTCTATTTTTTTTTTTTATTAAAAAGCTCTTGAAAATACAAGTCTTATACTTGCCAGAAATGTAGGACTAGTGGAAAATCACATTTTGGCTTTTATATACAGTATTATCTTCAAAGGTCTGAGAATACCGGAGAGCATGGCATTCTGGAACCTGCCTTAGGGTTGGAAAAGAAAGCTCCACCTCTCAGAAAACAATTATTTACTGGCATCAGGCTAACATATATTATAATCTCTTAATAAAGCAACATACTATATTTGTGACCATTTTATAAAAGGCTAACCAAGGCCAACATGTTCTTTTGTAATAAAGAATGTCCAATTACCTCCACACATGAATTTCTGTCCAAATAAATGCTCCCTTTCTTTTCTTTACGTTCTTCACTCATATAATAAGAGAGATCACTGGGCTTCAGGGTAAACCATCGCTCAGACCAGTTCCTTCTTAGGTGGCCTTTCTTCCAGAGATAGCCCTGTAGTGGGAATGAGGAGGAAAAGCAGGCACACTATAAACAAAGATTTGCATAAAAGCTCTTTGCAAGAGACCACTTAACAAAAATTTATGTCACAAAAGAGGCCAAATCACATTCAGGGCACATCCACAGTATGGGCTGGCTGGGAACTATGCAGTGTGACACACAACCAAGCAACTGTGTGAATACTATGCATAACATGGCAATGCAAGGCTTCTTAAGTAGTGCTTGCCCTATTCCACTGAGAAGCGGAGTCCTTCGGAAGCAAATTGGATTGCAGAGAATTGAGCTGGTGCCACTCTGTTAAAAATTCTACCTATGTAGAAAATCAGCACAGCTGGTTGAAAGGTAGAACCAACCCCTCCTATTCCCCCCAAATTAGTTTCCTAGATGTTTTTCTCAGTTTTACATAGGGGACCATTCAGAAAGGGGATCCACCAGCTGTAGTCCAAATTGTTTCAGCCTCCTATTCCCCCAAAATTAGTTTCCTAGATGTTTTTCTCAGTTTTACATAGGGGACCATTCAGAAAGGGGATCCACCAGCTGTAGTCCAAATTGTTTCAGCCTCCTATTCCCCCAAAATTAGTTTCCTAGATGTTTTTCTCAGTTTTACATAGGGGACCATTCAGAAAGGGGATCCACCAGCTGTAGTCCAAATTGTTTCAGTCCATTCCACCACTTTATTTTTCTGTACATGTAAGATCAGTCTATTTTACTACTTAAGATATTTCAGCACATGTTGAAATAGAACAGCAACACTATTATAGGTTTCTCATATTCTCAACATGACAATATACAGTTGTGTTAACTGGTTTACATGTATATTCTATAAATATTGATGTGACAGATAATCTAGATCCCCACCGTCTAGGCAATCAATACCTTAAAATAGTTCTGAAATGCTAAATCAAAGTGGAGAAAAAAGAAGTACCACCAACTTGCATGAGATTTTGGGCTGCAGTCTTTGTTGCTTCTGCATGTACCACATACTGATTCTCCTCTACCCTGGTTTACCCCTACTCACATGATCTGTGGCTATTAGGAATGCTGACTCGTTTTCCTTCCTCTTTGTATAAAGTGTTCTATTTCCTTATCGATGTATTCTACATTACATTATATTGTAAGCTCATGGTGATTCCAGGAAGGAAAAGTGAGGATGTTGATTTAGCATACCTGACAACCTTGTTTACACAACATAAATGATCCAGTTAGACACCAACCAGTCAAGTTTTCTTATTGGTCATTCTGGCAGTGTGTAACCATGTTAACCATTTTGGGATTTCCAAATTCATAACACTGTCTATACCATAGGTAATTTGGAGTATCCAAGAACTCCTTGCACCAGAACAATAGAGGGAGGAATCATAATACCACCAGTTTCTTTACCATAGGCAAGCAGCTGTAGGTGTGAAAAGGAAAAAGAGAGAAAAAAGAGGCATCACTGGAAGTATGAGGAATGAATCTGGTGAGGCTAGAGAGAAGCATTATGTCATTACTAGTCAGATGCCTCATAAGGCCATCGAGGGAATGGCCAAGTAACCATTGGAAAGGCAAGAGAAGAAGCTTAGAATTGGAGTCCTGGGGCACTGTCCTACATGAGGACTTTGGTTTCCATGTATTGCAGTGGACAACTTTTCTGTGTATATGGCTTCATTCTTGTTTGTAATACAGAGGCTAATCATATTGAGTCGTGTCTGTAAGCCTTCTGCCATGTAAGTCAAGTCCAGAATAAGAGATTGTCTAAGCAGCTGATATTTACATTTGTGCCAGGTGTGAAGCCTGACTAGAAGCACTGATCCACATCAAAATGTATTAACCTCCACTTACACTGGCTGCCTGTCCCTTTTTTTGGCCACCTTTTCAGCTCTCTACACATCTTCTGCTTTGCCTATGCCTGCCAACATCACCCCTTCTTTTCCCGAGATGGTATAGAAAGAAGTAGACTGTTAGAGACAGCACTGAGAAACTTCCCTCCTCTTCTCCCACCATCCACTGTCAGGTCAGTTCTCCCCCATCCAAAATGACCCATGAGAAGAAAAATCACTCCTTTTTTACCAAGCGTTCAACAAAGGAGAAGAGCAACAGTACGTGAGACAACTATCCCCAATCACAAATTCTGCAGGAGCAAGAAAAAGGAGGGTGAGAAGAATACATGCAAGTAACTCAGAGCACAACTAGAATACCCAACTAGAAAGTAGCAAGCCTTAGAACCCAGGGGGTACAGTCTTGGTCAATGTGTCATCTATATGGCAGAATCCTTCAAGACTCTGACCTATGGGCTTAGTAGCAAATCAAGGACAAATGAGGAGTATCTAATACAAAGGAGAGGAAGAATGGGTGAGTGGCTATGACAACCTATGACCTGGATGAAGTGCTGGGTCTCTTACAAATGTGCCACCATTTGAGTGAAAAGATGGCCTTTTCAGCATGCCCCATCTCCCGAAGGAGATATCTCCCATGGGATAAGTCAAATATCTTGTTAGAGACAGGACATGCAGTTTCCATTTGGCCCCCTCCCAGGAGGTTCAATTCAAGGGGCCAAGGTTCAGCTTTGCATCTCCTTACTCTTCTGATGCTGGAAGCAAGGTTGTAGATAGGTGATCTCAATCATCCCCAAATTAAAATCCTCAGATTAAAACTCAAAACCCACACTCTTTCATTTCAAGATGTCTCACGCCACTGAGGGTGGTCTTAGGGTTCAGTTACATGCACAAGGTAAGCATTTTTGAAGACAGGAGCAGGAACAAATCCAAAGCAGAACCCAGCTGTGAACAAACTTTATTTCCTGATTGTGAGCCAAACAGAAACAGATAAGGGTAGCGTACCATGCCATTTAACTGCTGGCAAAATGGGGGAAATATACTAATGGCTAATTGAACTGGCAGATCACTTTCTGGTGCAATAATGGTCACAAAGAGATGCTGAGGAGCTCTCTTGCAGGCCAGCCCCACCACGAGCTCTTGCCTTCTCTTCCTTGTGATTTTTTTCTGCTGGTGAGATGTAGAGGACTGCAGATATCAAAGCAGATTCACTGATGGCTGGTGTGGGTCTTCCGGCCTGCGTGGCCGTGTTCTGGAAGTTTTGTTTCCTAACGTTTCGCCAGCATCTGTGA